ATGCCCTCTCCTCTGCTCCCTTTGTCCCCTTCCCAGCAACACAATGTGGGTTTCCTCCATGTGGGTTCTGTCCTGGTGGTGTTTTCTCGTTTCCCTATGACTTTTCAACCTAGCTTCAGACTCTGAGTGTGACCTTTCTTGAATTACTAGTGGATTCTCCAAAGCTTACAAATTCTCATGCCTGGTTTGTTCTGTGGGCCTCTGATGATTCCACTGTCAATGGTTAGCATAGTGGGTCAGAGTACAGGAAAAATTGTCAATTCCTCCATGGCCCGCTCCTTGCCCCCCTGTTCTCCCTCCTCAGTATGCTGAGGCTGCAGTCACGCTGAACTTCTTGCTGTTGCCAGAACACATCAGGCCTTTGCACTTGCTGTTCTAGATTTCTGAAATGTTCCTTCCCTTCCAATGGTCAACGTTTACCTTGTTGTCGCATTACACCTTATATTGTACATCACAGAGGGCGTCTTGTTTGAACAGGGTGAAGGTTGAGCAGAAGCAAATAGTTACCCATTGTTCTGAAAAGAGTAGTCAGCTGGCCATGGCTTTTGGGGAGGTGAAGGCATAGGCCGTTCATTGGGGGCATAATGATGCCACATCACTCAGAACAGGAAATCTGAGCCCAGTTCGATAGGGACAGAGGTAGTGAAAACAATGGTGAGAATTGCCTGGATCCCTGCAATTCTGGCCAATACCTGACATCAACCTGGTGAGGGGCTCTGTCAGCCTGCTCTTGAGCTGGGACTACACTTCATTCCTTACCTCTTGGTTATGAAGGCTCCCGACCAAATGTCCCTGGTGCTGTGAACCTCTAGAGTCAGAAGCTGGCATCTGAGAACGGCCTGGCCCTCAGAGCCCTTGCAGACCTCCCTTCCTGATTTACACAGATTTGATACTGCTGGGCTTTGCTCAGATCTATAAACTTGGGTGTCAGCACCTCCATTTGGGTGTCAAGTCTCCAAATGAGATAGTGATGAAGAGTTTCTTTGGAGCCTCCCTGGCAGAAGCATCAATCGCTTTGCCAGTGAAAGGGGCCGTCAGAGCTCCAGGCGCTGCAGATTTACGAGCGGGCTGTGCCCTCTACTGTAATCTCTGGACTCCAAGCTTTCACTGAAAAAGGATGGCTTCCAATCTTGCAGATAACCTTCTTCATGTAAATCTGTGCATTGGAGGGCTTAGCCTGGAATGGATTCCTGGGAGAGCATTAACCCCTTCTCTGCCTGGAACCTCAGGATCAATTACTTGTAATCAGCGAAGATGACCCTACAGAAGTCATTGAGATGTTATAAAGAATATCTGACTTCCTTCTTTCCTTCCTTCCTTTTTAAAAATGATCACCTGAGGGCCAGTGCCATTTCTTCTCTGAGCCAAAATCCTGGAAAAGCCTGGAAACTGTACCCAGGAAGGCTTACTCTGGCTTGAGGGATGGAGTATCTGAAGGGCTGCATCCAGATTGGGGCTGCTTTCCCAGGGTGGTGACAAGTGGGTCTGTCCAGAGGAGTAGTACAGCCAGCAGACAATTACACTGCAGTGTGAGAAGGGCTTTAATAAGAGATAAGCAAAGGGCTTCAGGAGACTCCTTTATAATTAAAACCCTCTTGATTTGATACACAGGGTTTATATGCAATTATCCTTTCACTCATTCATGTCAAGAGTGTTCATTTCATAAGCCACAGCTACAAATCTTTTTGCTAGGTTTATACATATCAACGCTTTTATTCTGAAATCAGCTTTAACTCAATGCTATAATCCTCTTTCACACAGCATCCAAACTGCATGACTTCACACCATGGCTAACATTGTTTTCTGCCAGCCCCTTATTCTTTTCCACCATGTCTGCAATGTCCCTGCCGAGAGAATCCACGAGCTATTTCTTTCTTGGTATTCTTCTTTGTTCTCTTTCTTTGAGGTAAAGTGGGAGAACCTGGAGTGGCTAGTAGGTCAACATAATAACTTTTAATTCTTTTTTTAAACTTATTTAGTAGAAAATGTTAAACATAGACAAAAGTAGAGTGACTAATATAATGAATCCTCATGTACCTATCTCCCACTTTCAGCAGTTGTCACCTCCTGGCCAATCTANAAATGAAGCCGTTATTAGTATTGGAAGGGCAGGGAGTGGAATTGGCAGGCGAGTTATTTGAGCCAAGGGGCACTGGCTGAACTGGATAGCTTGGCCTCCTCACCCGCCTTGGGGAGCATGGATTGGTGTTTTTGGCTTAGTGCAGTGAAGCATATGATAGTCCTACACCTGCTGAGGTCCCCTTGGTGCTGCACCTGTACACGATCTCCAAGTTGGTACTGGCACACATCTGGCGGGGATGACCAAGGAAGCAGCAGAGGGTGTGTCCTTGGCTGGTATGATTGGAGATGTACGAGCCTATTAGAGGTGGTTCCTGCTGCTAGCGGGGGGGTTTTGTGCCCTAGTATATGTGGAACTAATGAATCCTAGAATTATAACTTGCCTTTAGAGATCATTTTTTCCAATCTGTTCATTTTACAGATAAGAAAACTGAGGCCCACAGCGGTGGAGTAACTTATCCACATGACTTAGGCACATGTTAAGTCTGTGGAAGACAGGCACTGTTCCTGCCTGGTGGGGGCTTCATGGCTCAGCACCCCTGCCAGTTAATGGGAGGGGCCCAACGCTAGCAGCATGGCCCCTGTCTTCCCTCCCCCCATTTGGTGTAAATGACACTTAGGAACTATTAAGTTAGGGACTTAAGTTGGGGACTATTCTCTCCCTGCCTAAGAAAACAGCTCCTGGCAGGGGTCAGGGGAGGTAGACTTTTAAAACGAATAGAATTACTCTGGGAATGTGACAAACTAGGAGTCTGCAGCTAGAAACTTGTTGGAATGGACTATTGAGGAGTTACCACTGAATATGTTCCGGGAAAGCTCCAGCGTGTCGTGTTGGTGCCCCCTTCTGGCCAATAGAGAGNAAGAGGACGTGTTCTTCCAAAGGGATAGTTGGCTTTTATTTGATTGAAATGCTCAGTATATTTGAACACTTGCAGTGTGGCCCTCTGAAGTATTTCAGTTGCATGATTCAGTTTTTAATAACTAATTTAATAGTATTTGTTGTTATTAAATAAATTTCAAAAACCATGTGAGAGACTACTGGTCATCACCACAAAGACAAATGCCCAAGATTCATCAATTCAGCATACTTTTAGAGTGCCTACTATGTATCAGGCACTGTGTCAGGCTCAGGGACTGTGAAGACCAGTAAGACATGCTCCCCTGAGCCAGTGAAGTAGAGGGACATGTTAGGTAATAGGTCCAGCAGGGTATTGGAAATGCTCTGATAGCGCATTCAAGGCTTGAGGGGATTAAAGCTTGTGTCCTGTCCTCTTCAGTGTCTATAGCAGCCACAGTCATCTATGCCTATGCCTGGCTGGTTCCTCTCGCTCTCTGGGGTTTCCTTCTGTGGAGAAACAGCAAAGTTATGAACATCGTTTCCTATTCGTTTTTGGAGATTGTGTGCGTCTATGGATATTCACTCTTCATTTATATCCCCACAGCAGTAAGTACCACACTTATCCTGAGCAATGCTCTGTCCTGGGTTGAAAATTAAACCAGCATCATTATTTCTAGACTAACACTGATGTGCGCCTGAAAAACACCCTTTGAATTTAGAAAGTTCAGCATGAATGGGGACTGGGGAGCCAAGTGCCTTCCCTGGATCCAAAGTCCGTTGTTGTGAAAGCATTCACCTCAGTCTGCATGCTGGTGGTGTTTCTCAGGCTGTGCTGAGAAACCAGGGGCAGTGGGGGCCCAGCTCTGATTGGCTCACGGGACTTTATAAACATATGTGCCTGGAATGAACAAATGCCTCTCTGAAATGCCTCCTCAAACCCCTCCTCTCCCTCTCTTCTTTCAGATACTGTGGATTATTCCCCAGAAAGCTGTTCGTTGGATTTTAGTCATGATGGCCCTGGGCATCTCAGGCTCTGTCTTGGCAATGACATTTTGGCCAGCTGTTCGTGAGGATAACCGGCGCATNCCCGGGAAGAGCGCAATGATGGTGCCAACTTGGGCCAGTGAAGCAACGTCCTCCACAACTAGACTGAAGAACAAAACAACAGCAACTTTTCTGTTCCCCTTCCCCCAATTCCCCAGCACTGTTCCCATCCCCCCAATTCCTCAATAAAAAAAGCCTTTAAAAAAAAGAAATAAAAAAATAAAAACCTTAAAAACCCCCACACGTACACACACCCACACACATGCACACACACCCACGGTGATCCGGTAGATTAAATTCACTCTTCCCTAAAGTGCTCTGCTTGCCCTAGTTTTCCATTGAGACTACAGGAGGACCTGTCTGATTTAAGTTCTTTTTCTCTGGCGTTAACATTTGGCACTTAGATAAGGGAAGTAACTTTTGCTTCCTGTATCCTGATGAGGAAGGTTTAACAAAATGGTCACGAATTTTTTTTGGTGTTCCTCCAATTAAAGAAGCTATAAACAAATCAGCGTCTTTATTCACCTAATTGTGGGAGGTGTTTTGGCCTTTGAATTCCAATCTCCCCATCTTTAAGGCAGTTAATCACTGAGTTGTGTGTTTGACCTTTCACAAAAGAAAATTCCCACTAAATGAGTATTGAATGCATCAAAAATTCATTTTCCCTTGCTTGTATGAGTAGGGTTGTAAGAGTCTAAAGGCTGGTGCTTCATTTTCTTGTTTCTGAATCTCCTGGTTTCCTTCACAGGCCCCTTTTGGATATGTGCCACACTGGTCTTTGCCATAGCAATTAGTGGGAATCTTTCCAACTTCTTAATCCATCTGGGAGAGAAGACATACCGTTACGTACCCGAATTCCGAAAAGGTTGGTCAATAGCTTGACTCATTTGGAATGCTGTCATTTATAAACCATGAGTTCCTTTTACCCGCTGCGCTCTTGGGCCCCTGTGTCTAGGTGCCGCAGCCCCTGCTTTCTGTATTTCAGGGTTCAAACATAACTACTTTCTCAGAATTTACCACCCATGTATATAAATCTACATAATCATTTTTCTAAATTGTGGTAACACATACATAACATGAAATTTACCGTATTAACATTTTTAAGTGTACAATTCAGTGGCATTAAGTACAGTCACACTATTGTGAATCCACATAATCTTCTGGAAAACTGTAAAGGAATGCCCAATAGCACTTGAAATTTATCCAAAGAAAAATGTACAAATTATGTAAA